CTGGCTCCTAGTTCAGTGTGTGCTCAATGTGGGAGTGTCAGATTGGCTGAGCCCACGATAAGTACCTACTTCGTAGCTGCAAGAGAGGCTTCAAGGGAGAGTGCCTATGCTAGTTAACTACCTACTGTCTCTCGGCTGTAAGCCCATCCTTTCACACTCTTCTCTGTGATGCAGCCGGTGGGACTGTGAAAACTGAGTTTTCCCTCATTCTTTTGCCAGTTGCGTCTAGTTAGACTCTGCGTGGGAGACACATAGAAGAAACTGAGGGGAAAAAGTAAAATGAGGGGAGATGAGGCAACAGAAAGAGACATCAAAGAATCAATCACAACTGAAAATAGAACTACCCTAAGAACCAGCCATTGTACTACTAGGTATCCAAAGGATGCAAAGATGCAGACCTGAAGGGGCACATGCACTCCAATGTTTATAGCAGCGCTATCCACAAGAGCCAAATTATGGAAAGAACCCAAATGTCCATTGACTGATGAATGGATACAAAAGAAGTGGTATATATACACACGATAGAATACTACCCAGCGATCAAAAATAATGAAATCTTGCCATTTGCAATGACGTGGATGGAACTGGAGTGTATTATGCTAAATGAAATAAGCCAATCAGAGAAACAGTTATCATGTGATTTCACTCATATGTGGAATTTGAGAAACCCAGCAGATGAGTATAGGGGAAGGGAAGGAAAAATAAGATAAAAATAGAGATAAGGCAAACCATAAGAGACTCTTAAATACAGAGAATAAAGTGAGGGTTTCTGGGGTGGGGGCCTGGATTAAATGGGTGATGGGCATTAAAGAGGGCACTTTTTGGGAAGAGCACTGGGTGTCACATGTAAGAGATGAATCACTGGGTTCTACTCCTGAAGTCACAAGTACACTGTATGTTAGCTAACTTGAAAATAAATTTTTTAAACAAACAAACAAACAAACAAACAAACAAATAAATAAATAAATAAATTTTACCTGGTTTAAAAAAAAGAAAGAAAGAAATGAGGGGAAATGGGATTTTTCTTCCTGTTTCTGGCTCCAGTCAGCATGTCTCCAACAGCAAAAAACCTCCAGCTTCTGGATCCTTTTGGCAGTTTTCAAGCCACATGCATTGCACCTCCCCAGACACGCCAGCACCAGCTGGATGCACCTCCCAACCCAGTGGGCCCAGCACTATCTGAGCCAGGTTCCCCTCGGAGGTCTGAACGCCGGTCACAGTGCATTTTAGAAGACTGAGTCCCAGCCACACAGCCCCCATCTCTCTGTCCTGCCAGAGGCGTGAGCTCCAGCTGTGCCTGGGCCCCTTTGATGAGCGCCTAGGTCTGAGATTCCCAAAGAATTTATTCTCTCAAATCTTGGAGTCGTGGACGCACTCCCTACCACTGCCAGTGCTCGTAGAACCAATTCTCAGCATTAAATCCTCTCTGTTTGAGACACTGAGTATAGTCTCTGTGACCTTTACTGAACCTTGACTGATAGGGAGTCTAGCTCTTTCAACTTTTATAGTGGAATTCTGGTTTTCCTCATATCAAGACTCCCTGTAGGGACTTCTTCAACTTAGGAATGGGATTAAGATGTAGGAATGGCTAACAAAGAGCCATTATAGACATCCTGATTTCCAACGAGGCCGTAAAATCTGGCAACACCTTGTTACTCTTCAAACCTGGATTTTAACTTCAGTTTTGCTATTGATTTGCTGTGAGGTCTTAGACGAGTCTATTTCCTACTAGAAGCTTCCATTTGTACACGTGTAAAAATAAAAAGGAAAGTTATTGGGGCTGCGGAACTCAACATTTCCTGAGTTTCCAAATCATCTCCAGCTTCCTCTGGGCATTTCTGGCTCTGGAGACAGCTTCCAAGAGAGAATAAAGAGAGGGAAGATAAGGGGTCCTGGGTCTGCATGACACCATGAGAAACACTCGAAGATTCTATTTTGAGGTGTCCTCTGGGTTCTAATGGGCAGAGTAATGAGAAAATAGTTGATAACAAAAAAACACAGCATCTTCCAATGAGGACCTTGTAAGGTAGAATGTTCCCTCCGCTCAGCCCCTGAGGGCTTTGAGTTCATCCCTGAGGACAGCAGGTGAGAAGACACTGTCAACTGCAAAGCACACTCTGGCCATTTCCAAGGACTGCTCTGGTCCATGGACCTTCTAGGGCAGAATTATTTTGTTCCAGTCATTCATGTATGTAAACGTAATCAAGAACTGAGAGGTACTAATGGGATGGACAAACTTCAGGTCCTTATCAGATTTGGCTGGGAACCTGAACAACCATAGTTCTTCAAATTGAGAAGTACTCTTTGACATTATTAATCCATTACCCTCGACTCATGGACAGGAAACTGAGGTCCTGAGAGGAGCATCCCTCCACCCTACCCTGTCTCAACCAGGTCATACATTCAACCAGGGGCAAAGTTGGGATTTGTATTTGGATATTTTTATTCCAAGATAAGTGTTCTTCCCACAGGATGTCGACCAGTGATGACTTGAAAATTTGGTCTGAATCATAAAGATGTACAAAGAGGTTTCCCAGGAAAGGAGACTAACTCTCACAGATGTGTGCAGGCAAGGGCCGCGTAAATGTGGGAGATGCCACACACAGGAGCCATTTGGCTAGATGGTCACTCTGCAAAACTGCCAGATTAGCAGGGCTTTGGGGGTCTTCCACACAATCTTTCCCCAATGCTCCCACTTTTAATGATTCTAACATTCATCTAATGATTTTAATATTTTCTCCTGATCTCCTTCTGTAAAAGGAGCAAGCACCAAGATACTTCTTAAGCCCTTTTCCCGCCCCCTATCAGTGGATTGGCCCTTAACTATCATCCAATCCACAAATTCTGAAACTTTAAAATCACTTGGCACTACTTGTTAAAAATGCATATTTATGGTGTCTTGAGGACCCAATTTTTATTTTGTTGTTGTTGTTGTTTAGTTTTTATTTCATAATCATAAACTTAACTCTGGAACCCAGCTAGACTTGGAGGAGAGTAAGGAAAATACGGAACCCATAGAACTGCAACAAAAGAACAAAAAGCTTATAGGATATTTCAAGAAGATGGGGGTGAGGGGATGCTCTCCTGATCTAAAGAAGGAATGGTCTGGTAGTTAAGATAAAACACAAGGCAAATTTATTAGATTTGTCCACAGTCAGCAACAGTGACCTTCTTGCTGTTTGTGCCATTCCTGGCCCTAAAGCGCCCCATGGCTTTCACAATATTCATGCCTTCTTTCACCTTGCCAAAGATCACATGCTTGCCATCTAACCACTCAGTCTTGGCAGTGCAGATGGAAAACTGGGTATTGTTTGTGTTGCGTCCAGCATTTGCCACGGATGAGATGCCAGGACCTGTGTGCTTCAGGATGAAATTCTAACCATCAGATTTCTCCCCTTATAGACAGACTAGCTGCCAGTGCCATTATGGCATGTGAAGTAAAGTCTCCACCCTGGCCAATAGTCCCAAAATAATCCAGTGAAAGAAGAAAACTTGATCACCTATTTTTTTCCTCCCCAGTGTTCAGAGCACAAAAGTTCTCTGCTATCTTTGGTACTGTGTCTGCAAACAGCTGGAAGCACATGTGGCCCAAAGGGTTGCATTCCACCTTGATATCGAAGAACACGGTGGGGTCAATTGTGGCTGGATGGTGTCTGCAAGGCCTGAAGGACCTGTATTTTAGACAGCCCCTGCCTACCCCAAATGACCTAATGTAAGTGTTTGTCAGTAGCATTTTCAGAAATACCCAACAGTTTAACCAGCCCTTTTTAAAGAGGGTGAAATGAGCGATGTGGAGAGGAAAGGAATTACTGAACAGTAAGTGGACCCCAGACTTTCATTAGAGCCTCTTGATTCAAGTTGTACAAAACAATGCACTTACTCAAAAGATACATCCAGGTTTTGGTGTGCGGTGGTGGCCAAACCTCCTGCTGTGGGGCTCAATCCTCAAGCCTGGCACCTTCTTATCTTGCCCAGTCCTTTGGGGACCCCTGTCCTTCTTCCCCATGCCTTTCCTCTCCCCCATCCCTCCCCTCCTTATCCTTCCTCCTCCTTCTACTTCCTTTCCATATGTTCCAGTTATCTACCTATTGCAGGGAACGAAATTTCCCAAAACATTTTCTATTTCTCACTATTTTGTGGGTGGGTACTTTGGGAGGGAATCAGCCCAGTGGTGCTCTCCTGGGGTGTTCACCTGGTTGTAGCCAGATATCTGCTGGGACCACAATCACCTGAAGCTCTGCTTGGTGGAAGCTCATTCATGTGGCTGGGACGTGACACTGATTCTCAGGTAGAGCTTTTCTGGGGCTTTCGGCCAGAGTGTATGATTGGGCCTCCCCAGCATGGTTGTCTCAGAGTAGCTGAACCTCTTACATGGAAGCTGCTTCACACACACCCCCAACAAGCATCCAGAGAGGATCGAGAGCACTTTTCCTGGCCTATCCTTGGAAGTCACACAGCATCATCTGGCTTTACTCTCCTGGTCAAAACAGTCCCAGCATTTGCCTGGACTCAAAGGGACAGGATGTGGACTCTACCTCTAGACTGAAGTATGTGAAAGAATTGTGAGTCCCTGCTTTCAAACTGTCTTTCCCTCCTTCATCCCTCCTCTCTTCCTCCTTCCTCTGCATCTTTGCTTTGCTTTCCCTAAGTCTTCCTCTCATGCCTCTCCCCAGTTACCTTCTATTTGTAGCGACTGTGCTGGACTCTGGAAGTGTATCCTTTATTGAAAGCTCAGGGAACGAGTCTATGAACCTTTTTGGAGATGGATGTACCATGAAGTTGATGGAGCTCAAGCCTCATGATCCCTCATCTGAGCAAACCTACTTCCATTCCTAAGCATCTTATGACAATTTTACCAGGGCCACAGGGTCACCAGAGTTCCCATTTTGCAGGATTTCCATACTCCTCTCTCTTTCTTTTGGTGTTCCTGGAGGACCCAATGACTTCTTGTTCTCCGAACACTGCACAGGAGTAGATGTGAATTATTCATTCTCACAGACACCAGACCTCACAGAAAACTTTATTGCGGAAACTGGTGGCTTCCGAAAGATACATGGGGGCCCCGAGAGTTGAAGAGATAGGATCTCACACTGAGAAAGGGCCAAAGGGTAAAGGGCATTATGTTTGGAAAGAAGCTGAGCTGGAGGAAAGAGAGTAAGCAAATGCGGGGGTTCGGTTTTGGAGAAGCCAATGTCTTGGCAGCTGAGGAAGCCAATAAGAAGCATCAGTCAGGCACACATGGAGAGAACCCTGGATTACAACCAAGTTCTGGAAGTTGTTCTACTTCTCTTTATCCTGCCCAGGGAGTTGGTGACTCTGCAAGATAACAGAATAGAAAAGGATGAGATGCTTGGGCCATACTCACCTTAGGAACCAAATCCTATAGTTAATGGAAAGAAGGAGATGGGGTCATATTTATATCTTTTCACAGGAAGAGAAAACAGAAGTGGAGTGATTTTGGGGGCTCATAGGGTGATCATGTGCTCCGTCTTTTCCTGTCAAGACCCAGTTTAAGCCTGTTATCCCAATGTAGTAACGAATGGCATCCCCTTTCACTGTCAAATTTCTCTGTTTGGTCAATAAAGCATGTGGTTGTCCTAGCTATAATCACCTTAAAAAGGAAAATGAAGAGGACAGGTGATGGTGCATGGTGGCCAGCCCTGGGCTCTGGGCTGGCTCACTGGGCCTCCTTCTGACATGGTCTTGGGCACTCCACCACCTGTGCTTCCACTTTCTGCACCCCGTTTCCATCTCCTACTTGACAACTTCCCTTTGACTACTGCTTCTATTCCCACCTTCTCTTTCCCAAAACGTCCTCTATTTACCCTTTGCAAGGTGCATTCTTATCTCATGATTGGACTGATTCTGTCAGCTCCAGGCCTGCCAACTTTCTGGAATGGACCAGTTAACACCCAGACCTCCCACTGGTGCAAGTGAGCTTGGGAGATGGGACCCCTGGGACTTACACACATCTGGGCAGATGGACCTGCAGACAGCTTCAGACTGGAAGTTGTTGTTGTTTCCAGCACAACCACCATAGGTGAATTTGGAGCAACGTTTGGTTTCCTTGTTGTACCACCAGCGTGGAATGAGGGCCAGGCAGAGGCCAACTTCCTTGGGCAAACTGCATACGTCTGCAGGGAGATTCCAGAGCAGTACTCTTTGGGTTCTGCCTTGCTAGAGAATATTCCAGGCTTGTGGATAGGCTTGGAACAATGTAAGCATGATATTTTTAGAGCTACATGAACATGCTAAAAAATATTATGCGGCTATACTCCTCCATGCTTTTGCACATATCTGGAGTGTCCATCCCTCTTTTGCTTACTAGGTGCAATCTTATTCATTCCTCAAAACCATCCCTAGACATTAAACTCTTTGATGTCTTTCCTGGCCCTATTCCTCACTCTTTGCTTTTCTTTATTGCTTTTTTTAAATTTAAATTTTTGCTCTTCTTGTTTTCAATCTTGCACACATATTGATCACTTCTGTGTAATTATTTGTTCATATTTTCTGACTCCTCCATCAGAATGTGAGGTTTGCACCTTATGTTATTTTGGCACACCAGTTCCTAGCAGATAATTTGGCACTGAGAGGATGCTTTAGGAATATATATCTTGCACTTCAAGAAATACTTATTGAGTAACCATTTTGTTCACAATACTACAAAGTACAAATAGAGTTCTTTAGAACCTCATCGTCTAAAGCATAACAACAACAGTATTTATTAAAGTTCTTAGCACTTGACACATATTAACCTATGACCTTATGAGGTAGGTCCTCTTATGGTCCTCATTTTGCAGATGAGGAAACTGAGGCTCATAGAGGCTAAGTAACTTCCCTAAGGAAGATGACATAGGGATTTGAACATAAATACTCTATTGCTTGTAGGATCAAGACAAGATCCCTTACTCTGGCTGGCAAAAACCAACGTTGTCAGAGTCTTGCCTACCTAGCCTGGCTTTACCATCCTCATATTTCTCTCTCTTATCATGGGCACACTTGCTCTCTGGTCTCTAGACTTTCTAGACTTGAGCATGCTATCTCCTCACACAGGACCTTCGCACATACTATTACCTGTGCCTGAAAGCTCTTCCCTCCAATTTTTGCCTACTTACAACCCATCTTTCTGATCTTATATCTTGGATCTTTTCCCACGAAAACCTTCTTGCTTCCCTGGGTTATATTGAGTAAGCAGAGACCATCATGGGTGTAAGAGGCACCAGCAAGTACTTGTTGAAAGAAAGAATGAATGAATGAATAGTCCTTGATGGTCCTCTTTAGAGCTCAATCATATGGGCACAGCAGAAAGAGTGTAGGAGGTCAAAAATGGTTAGGGAAGGCATCCTGGATTTATATAGACAAAGAGGCCTGGAAAGATACTTGTTTCTTAGAGCTATCATATCTCCTGATGCCATGTTGGCATTTGATAGGACCTCCGTGGTTCCTTGACATCTCAGAGGATCGCAGAAGAATAGCCAAGAGACCATGTGGTTTAATGCCTATATCTTTCTTACACATGGGGAAACTAAGGCCCATAAAGGAAAATTTCTGTTACTCACACCACATACCTAAATAGGGGAGAAAAGAAATAAACTCCATCCCAGTCCAGCACTGCTAGGATTTGTGTCAGGCAGAAGATGCATCCAGACTCTTGGTCAGAGACCAGCCATCATTCAAGGAGAGGGGTCCAGCAATGCCAGTGCTGATGGGCAGAGAGTGCAGGTCAGAAGTGAGGGCACTGGATAGTTCAGGGAGTTTGTGTGTTACCTTCATCGGGGTCTACACATTTCTTCGCACAGTTAAACTTGCAACACTTCATCTTCCCCGAGCAACGTTTTTTCCTTCCACAGTGGTCGATTTCTTTGAAACTGCATAGTGGTTTGTTTTCGGGACACTTCTCTGAGGGAGAAAACAAGGGAAGAAGGGAGGCCAGAACCCTCCATTGCCAGGCCCAGAGCACCACTGCAGAGTTAGAGAAGCCTTTTTTCACTTCATCGTCCCCAGAAGGTAGTGACCTTTAGATGGCTCAGGATTTTCACATCACTGTCCCCACTCCCAACCCGATAACGACTCACCATGTAGTACCTACACCCAGCCCTACCCCCAACCCCACCACTCATAGGATGCTCTCCACTAGGACTACTCTGGTCACTTGGCTTTCTTGTATTTGGATGTTCCCTGGGTGGGGGCAAGAGTGCTGTAGCTCCTCCAGGTGACTGAGATCTCCATTTGTGGAGTCAAGTGTCTGGACTTTGAATTCTGTGCAACCCTTAGTATGACAGGCATCATCTCTGGACCTTGCCTCTTTCATCTGCCTATAGAGTTGGTTTGAGGATTAGGCGACAAATCTTGTAAGCCATCGTCAAGCTGCCTGGGGCATAATAATGATAACTAATATTAACGAGATGCTTACTGTGCCCTTGTCCTTTTCTCCTTAATTCTCATGACACCTCTCTGGGTGAGTCCTATCAATATCCACATTTTATAAACAGAGGAATCTGCAGCACAGGCAGGTTATGTGAACCTTTCCAAGGTCACACACAGCTACTGAGGAGAGGAACCAGGATTTGAACCTGCAATGTATGGCTTCACTGCTGAGTGCTCAGTGTATTTTAGCTGCTACTTAAGGGATCTTCATATTTCCGCATTTCAAGGGACTTCCAGAGACCATTCTTTACTCCAAAAGCAAGGACCTTCTGGGGGTGTGGGTATGGGGAGACTTTTGGGGCTGCAACTGGGAGATTTAAAGCTGCTAAGGGTGGTGCTGGGATGGGGGGGGGGGATCTTTCTTATAGGAAAGGTCCATAAGGTTCCAGCACCTTTTTAGTCCATCTTATGGCCCCCTGGTCTAGAAGGAATCCCTCTCATAATGACAGTGGGGAGTCCGTTGCTACAGACTCAGGTCCCTGTGCTCGTGGAATGCATCTGACCAGGAGTTTGGGGTCTGAGAGAAAGACTGAGAACATCTCCCATTTCTCCTGCCCAGGGTCCCAGGCTGAAGGTGGAAGTGTTCCTCCTCTGTAGAATTCTTTGTTTCTCCCTCCCAGAAACTTCCGTTTTTCCGCTGGGAGGGCTAGTCCCTGATACTTACTGCCAAGCAACCCCTCAACCAGCTCAGGCTCCTGAACTCTCCCCAGGAGGATGAATAGTACCAGGACTGGCACAAGTCCCAAGGGCCCCATTTTAAGAGCTACTGGCCTGGCTGCTGGCACGAAAATTAGGAACTGCTCCGCAGTAGCTCCTGCTTCTGATCTTTGGCTGTCCTGGCACAGGAGCCACACTTCCTGTGCCGGAGAACGCCAAGTCCCCGAGGCCACCGGTGGGAGTAGCTGGCACCCACAGCACCAACCCTGGGGGAAGGAACTCTTGAAAAGCAGCTCCTCGGGGTGCCTGGGTGGCGCAGTCGGTTAAGCGTCTGACTTCAGCCAGGTCATGATCTCGCGGTCCGGGAGTTCGAGCCCCGCGTCAGGCTCTGGGCTGATGGCTCGGAGCCTGGAGCCTGTTTCCGATTCTGTGTCTCCCTCTCTCTCTGCCCCTCCCCCGTTCATGCTCTGTCTCTCTCTGTCCCAAAAATAAATAAACGTTGAAAAAAAATTAAAAAAAAAAAAAGAAAAGCAGCTCCTACTCCTCAGCTCGCTGCGGCTCTCTGGCTCTCTGGTCAACCAGGGAGAGAGGCAAAGATTGTCTGGGACTTCTAGACTCCCTTGGATAAAGGGAAGTTCAATTCCAGCATCTTCCATTTTCCAGTGGAGTTTAGAGATCAAGAATATTCCAGTTTTCTTTCCAGTCTTACCCTTCTCCTGACATGTCTATTTGTCTCCTTATTTTTCTCACACTTTATTTTTCTTCTTTCTTTTTTTTTTTAATTTTCCTTACATTTATGTATTTATTTTTGAGAGACAGAGAGAGAGAGACAGAGCACAAGCGGGGGATGGGCAGAAAGAGAAGGAGACACAGAATCTGAAGCAGGCTCTAGGTTGTCAGCACAGAGCCCGACGCAGGGCTCGAACTCACAAACCACGAGATCATGACCCAAGCCGGAGCTGGACACTCAACCAACTGAGCCACCCAGGCGCTCCTATTTTTCTTCTTTCTGTGCTTCCTCCTTTTGCTGTGTGCCTGCCTTTTTCTCTTTTCCTGTGAGTCTCCCTCCGGGTCTCTTTCTCCCTGCCCTTCATTTCCCTTCTGTCCTTCTCCTTTTTCTTCTTTTTGGGCCATCCCTTTTCTTAAACCATCGTCAAAAAGTAAAGGTATTACCATGTGTAGCATGTGGGGAAGGAGACAGGTTTATCTCAGGTTGGACCAAATCTTCAGAAAGTATTTGTCAAGATCATGCTGCTTTGAGAGCAGGAGAGGATGCCAGCACTAACAGAAAGCCTCTATTATTGGGTGCAATTTGGAATGGTTGATGCAGGAGGGAAATAATAACTATCAGTTATGACATCAGAACCAGCAGCTATGGGGCATGAAGATTCTTCCATTGGGTTCTCCAACTTAAGGTTTGAAGGTTTAATAAGGCATGTTCTTGGCTTGCCTCTGATTTCACCTGTAGCTACAGGAGACAGACCTGGGGCACATTTTTGTTTTTCCTAACCCACTTTTAGAAAAATTGAGGTGGGATTCACATCAGATGAGATTAACCATTTTTAAGAGGACAGATCAGTGGCTTTTTAGTACCTTCACAATGTTCTGTAACCACCACCGTTGTTAGTTCCAAAATATTTTTATCACTCCAAAAGAAGGCACCTTGCTGCCTCAATTGGAAGAGCATGTGACTCTTGATCTCGGGGTTGTGAGTTCAAGCCCCACGTCAGGTGTAAAGATTACTTAAATAAATGAAACTTAAAAAACGAAAACAAAACCAAAAGAAAACCTTATACCTACTAGCAGTTGCTATTTCCCCCCAGCCCAATCCCATCCCTGGCAACCACTAACCTACTTTCTATGGCTATGGATCTACCTATTCTGGATACTTCATAAAAATGGATTCATACTGTAGGTGACCTTTTGTGTATGACTTTTTTTGCTTAGAGTAACATTTTCGGTTTTTGTGGCATATATTAGTGTTTTGCTCCTTTTGTGGCCGAATGACACCCAATGCTTAGAGACAGCTTCCAACTTCAAGTGTCAGAGTCTACTTCTGTGCTATGGGTTTTCTCTGGCTCCCTGACATCTTGCTAAGCTTGCATGTGGAACAGTCTGGAAGAGCAAGGGCTTTAATACCCCCAGGCATCCAGGAAGGAATGGGAATCAATGAATAAATGACTCAACTGCCCCGTCACTGGAGACGAATGCAGACATTTGGACACATGTTTTACAGCATTCCTTAGAAGGCCCCTGGGAGAATAAGCTGCAGTTTCCCGCCACAGTAACCAGCTTATAGTCGACTCCTCTCTTGCCTGTATTATTTACCCGATCCCCACCTTGTGTGTCTTGAGAGATCTCCCAAGTAAACTGCTTTCACGCATGTCCTTGTCCCAGGATTAGTTTCTGGGGGATCCAAACTAAGGCAATGCCCAAAGACCTTTGTCTTAAAGGGTCTTACAATTTTTTGAAGAAACAGAGGAGGACAATGTCCCTGGAGCTCTCAGCTCTCGAGAGCTGACTGTTTCCTCTCCCTTTCATTGTGTCACAAGAGGCCTCAGTGACCCTTTATTCTCTGCAAAGTGTAATGTACCAACAGATGTGAATTATTCAGCCTCAGAGGCACAGGACTACACAAATTACTTTATTGGGGTAAATTGGGAGCTATGCAGGGGGCTCTAGACATTGGACATAAAGAAAAGAAGCATAGAGATGGGTCAAAACAGAATGATACCATGTTTAAGAGTCTGAGATAGAGGAAGGCGAATGCAGATCCTGGGGCTCTGTAAAGGGAAGAGCTGAGGTCTTGGAATGTGAGAGTAGAACAGTGGAAACCAGCGTGGACCATTGGTCAGGCACACAGACAGAGCCTTGGATCATGAGCCAAATCCTGGTGGTTGTTCAGGTACATCCTTAATGCAATGAGGATTATAAGCCTGGAGAGAATGTAGGACAGGACCAGTTAAGCACTTGGGCTCAGCTTATCTTCAGAACAAGTCTTGAAGTTATGCTCATATATCTTTGCACGGCAGATTAAAACAAAGTGGGTTTGCTTTGGGGAGCTATGGCTTCCTCCTTAAAAGTGGAATTGGGGGCGCCTGGGTGGCGCAGTCGGTTAAGCGTCCGACTTCAGCCAGGTCACGATCTCGCGGTCCGTGAGTTTGAGCCCCACATCGGGCTCTGGGCCGATGACTCGGAGCCTGGAGCCTGTTTCCGATTCTGTGTCTCCCTCTCTCTCTGCCCCTCCCCCATTCATGCTCTGTCTGTCTCTCTCTGTCCCAAAAATAAATAAACATTGAAAAAAAATAAAAAAAAAAAAAGCGGAATTGGATGTGGTTGGGAGCAGATTGATGGCAATCCAGCACTAATCTGGACATCTTGTGACCTCTCTGAAGTTGGTCTCTGGGATTTCATCATGTCTGCATCCTCCTTCCATCCCTCATACTTGCCAGCTTTGATTCATGACCATGTCCCTTCCCAAACTCAATTCCCAGAAAGCTGCTATCCAACCCTCTGCCAGGTGCATACTTACCCCCCAAGTGGAGCTGGCTCTGCCAGCACTGGTCTGCCAAGGACATAGCCAACCCGGAACAAAGCAACCAACACCCAGACCTTTCAGCATGGCCCTAATGAGGTTGGGAAGCCCCAGGGACTCACGTTTTTTGGAGCACATGTTCTGGCACATGTCTTTGGTTTGGAAGTTGTTATTGTTTCCTTTGCAGCCACCATAGATGAACCTGGAGCAGGTACCCTTTTCCTTGTCATACCACCAACGATGAAAAAAGGCCATGCAGGGGCCAGTTTCTTTGGGCATATCACATATGTCTGTAGGGAGACCCCAGAGTTGAGAAATAACAGTGCCCACCCCTCAAAAAAGGAGCTGTTATTGTTACCCCTGGACACCACCAGAGATGAAACTGAGCAGGCTCCTTTCACCTTTTCACACCTCAGGAGCCCAGACCCATTGGTATATTGTGCACATTGTAGGGAGACCCCAGAGTGGAGCTGTTTGGGTGTCTGCATCCCCGGAGAACATCGGTCTCTCCCATTCCTTCTGGTCACTGTCCCTGTTATCTTCCTGAGAGTGAGGAGACTAATTTGAAGGCTCTGCTCCCAAATCAGTGTGTGTATTGACCTCCCACATTACCTGTCTTGTCCTTGACATCCTCTTCTGTACAATGGGAATGCAAAATCTCACCCTGCTTGTGGCACAGAGCCATCCTGAGGTACAAGTGAGACTGCCTTCATGGCACTCGAGGTTGTGAACTCCTTGATTATATCTGAATATGCAACTTCAAGCAGTGCCTGGCATAGAGTAGCTGCTCAGTAAATACATCCTGAATGGATTAAAGATATGGAAGTGCCTTGGAAATGGCAAATTATAAACCACATACTCTGCCCCCTAAACCATGCCAGGAAGAGAGAATATGGGATCATGAGTAAAGGGGAAGTCCACTCAGGGAAGCCAGTGACTAGTATTTTAGATGGTCCAGCACCGTTCTTCCCTCAGTTAGCTTCAGTCCTGTTATGGGTTGGATTGTGTCTCTCCCTACTCACCCCGCCCCCATTTGTATGTTGAATCTTAATCCTCAGGATTTCAGAATGTGACCCTATTTGGAAATAGAGTTGTGGCAAATGTAATTAGTTCAGATGAGTTATACTGGGGTAGGATGCATCCCTAATCCAACAGGGCTGGTTTCTTTATAGAAAGGGGAAATTTGGACACACACACACACACAGAGATAGATAGATAGATAGAGAGAGAGAGAGAGAGAGAGAGAGAGAGATGAAGCTGAAGGCAGAAGTCTACAAGCCCAGGATTGCCAAATATTGCCAGCAAACCATCAGGAATTAGAGGAAAAGCATGGAACAGATTCTCCCCCTCACAACCTGAGAAAGAACCTGCTTTGCCAACACTTGACCTTGGACTTGTAGCCTGTAGAACTGTGAGGCAATATATTGTTGTTTAAGCCACCCAGTTTGTGGTCCTTTGTTGCTGCAGCCCTAGCAAATGAATGTAGATCTGAACTCAACTCTGAGTTCCATGAGGGAAAACTTCCCATAGCTGAACAGGCAAGTCCTGCTGATTTTTATCCTCCTCTTAGCTCACCTCTCTGACACTCTCTTTAAATCTTGGTGTCTCATGCCTGGGCTGTTGGGATAGCCTGGAACTGATCTTCCTGGCCCTGTCTCTGGCCCTTCTAATCAGTCCTTCATTCTGCCTGCCAGAGGGAAGCACCTACTGGACTTGAAAAAAGCTGATCATGTCATTCCACAGCTAGGACCTTTACTTCATGGCAAAGTCTTCCACTGACCCACAAGCCTTTTGTAGTCTGGCTCCCACTTGTGGTTCTGCACCACCACCTGACACCACAGTACCATTTGAGGTACATGCTCCTGCAACCTTCAACACCCCATGGTATACCACACCTCCACACCTTTCACTTTCATTTCCTCTGTCCACTCCGCTGTTGTTCATTAGCGACAGTCCCACTCTCCCTTCAAAACCTTCCTCAGACATCAGCTCGTCTGTGATGTCACTGACTCCAGTCTAAACCCCACACCCCCATAGCTTCCTGGACCGATCCTTCATTGTTCCACCATGTTTCTGAATCTCTTGTGCATGGTTGTCAATGGATTCCCTCCTCAGTCTTCTCCATGAGGTCATGAGCTTCCAAGGGAGCAGAGATTGTGTCTGATTTCATCTTGGAGCCCCATTCCTAGCAGGTGGTCTGGCATAGAATAGGATCTTGCAGAACGTTGAGGGTAAAACAAAATGCACCCTGACCTGAACCAAATAAGCCATTCATTGAGCACCTACTATGTGCAAGATGCTTTTTAAAATAAATATTTATTTATTTTTGAGAGAGAGACAGATAGACAGAAAGTGCCAACATGAGCAGGGGAAGGGCAGAGAAAGAAGGAGACAGAGAATCCCAAGCAGGCTCCACACCATCAGCACAGAACCCCATGTGGGGCTCGAACTCACGAACCTCGAGATCGTGACCTGAGCTGAAACCAAGAGTGTGACACTCAATTCACTGAGCCACCCATGTGCCCCTGAAGATGCTTTAAGAGACAAAAGGCATGGCCTCTGCTTTTTAGGAACTCCCTAAACAAATAACTTAAGCTAATATGTGTCACTTGGCTAAATCGTGTCCAGGAATTGCTCTAAGCACTTCCTGTGCATCATCTTGTTTGGTCCTCCAAATAGCCTTTAACATTGGTTCTTTTCTTATCTGGGGAAAGTGAGGAACAACAGGGGAAAGTTGTTAATTTTCCCAGGCTGGTGACAGACTAAGACTTGAACTCAGAAAACCTAGATTCAAAAACCCTCACCTTTAGGCAAATGAACAACTCACCATCCTCTTGCCCACTCTGCCCCATTGTCCATTGTCAAGTCCTGCTTACTTTACTGCCTAGACATCTTTCAAACACAGCCCACTCTTCTCCATCCCCTCAGCTACCTCTCTGGTCCAAGCTACCATATCCTCTTTTCCTGAAATCCTTCAAGACATTCTGTTTCTCCTCTGTTAGTGATAAAACCCTGATCGCATCACTGTCCACCACAGTGGATTTTCATTGCTCTTGGGATCAAAGTGAGATGCTAGCCCACCAGACCCTATCTCACCAGATCCTTTCCCTCATGCCGTGCTCATACACATTCTTGCTGTCTGGCCTCTCTAAGCCCCACCATTGAGCCTTTGTGCATGTTATTCTCTGTGCCTTGAAATCCCTCCCATCCACTCTTTGCCTAAATTTCCTACCCATCCTTCTGAACTCAACTTCAGGTTTGCTTTCTCAGAGAAGCCTTCCTTACCTCCCTGACCACACGAGTCAAATCCCATTATGACTCTCAGAGACACTCAATACATATTTGTTAAATAAATGAGTAAAGAATCTTTGATAGTCTTTTTGGAGCCCAAGAAGATGGGCATGGAGTTAAGATTGCAGGAACAAAGGAAAAATCCTCTGGTCTGCAGTAGTCAAGGGATGTTTCCTGGTGCCCAATTGAACTTAGAGAAGCAGAGAGGCAGCCCCTCAGCAACAAAAAGCTGGTAAATACCAATAGCTTACTTATCACTTGCAGCAACAATGTGCCAACAATGGCCACATGGAGACTAAGAAAATCATGAGTTAGAAATAAACAAAAAAAGAAAACCATAAGAGTGAAAGCAGCCAAGAGACTATCTGCTTCAATCCTACACTCACATTCTGTTTGGGGAAATCAAAGACCAGATTGGATGAAGATACTACCTAATGTCACACATAATATTAGGGGCAGTGATGGATGTAAATTACAGGTCTCCCCGTCCAGCAATCTTGCTGAAAGACCAGCCCTTAGTAAAGCAGGGATGATGCTACACAGGTGGGCAGAAGGTGAGGGTGTGGGCAGAGGGGCTGGTTATTCTGAGGCTCCTAGTATTACCTTGGTGGAGGTCTAAACACTTTTTTCCACAGCTGAAGATGCAACACTTCTTGTTGTCCAGACATTGTCTGTCCTTCGTACATTCATCCCTTTCTTTGAATTCACATTTCTCTTGGATTCTGGGGCATCTCCCTAAAGGAAAGGACAGTTTTACAACCGTGAATCTTAGAGGGCACAGTGTCCACTCTTCTCCCAACCCAAGGCAACTCTGTAAAGTCGGGGATGTTTGCTTTCTCTTTGCTCATCCACAGGAGTCCTTTTCCTTAGGGTGCTCTCATGTATTTCCAAGCACTGCCTACACTGACTTCCCTTCTGACCACTCTCTACCTTCTTACCCCATCCCTAGTTCCACCCCTTAGCCCCATCCCCTCTAATGCAGGATTTCTCAAACTTGCCAGTCTTTATGATCATTATTTATGGGAGGAGGAGGGCTGTCCTGTGGGTGTTCAGCGTCTCGGGCCCCTATCAGTAGGGTGTTCAGCGTCTCGGGCCCCTATCCACCAGAAGCCAATAGCACTCTCCAGTTTAACAATCCAAAATATCTGCAGATATTGCAAATGTCCCCTGGAAGGCAAAATCGCCCATTGAAATCCACTGGTCTAAATTAATCTGGTCATTTTGGCCTAGTTGAGGAGTCAGTGTTTTGGAGTTCCTCCCAGGGGCGCTATTGCACAATGATTAATAACACTCACCCTGGCGTCAGAGAGTTGGGTTTTTAAATTCTACATCTTGGTTTACCACTCACCTCTCTGAACCTTGGTTTCTTCACTTGTAAACTTGTTTTACCCTTACAAAGTTGTTGAGGAGGAAATGAGACAAAGTGCGTAAAGTTACAATCATAGGAACTGATGCATAGCAATGTTAACTAATGTTTATCCACTGTTTACCATACACCAAGGACTTTTCTGTGCATTTTAAATGCTATCTCAGGGCGCTTGGGTGTCTCAGTAGGTTAAGTGTCCAACTTTTGATTTCAGCTTAGGTCATGGTCTCACAGTTGGTGAGTTCGTGCCCTGCATCGGGCTCTGTTCTGACAGTGCAGAGTCTGCTTGGGATTCTGTCTTTCCCTCTCTCTCTGTCCCTCTCCTACTCCTGTTCACACTTTCTCTCTCAAAAATAAACTTAAAAAAAAATTTAAATGCTATCTCCCATAATCCTCCTAATACCTCTAAGAGGTCAGTTCTACTGACATCCACATTTTGTGCAGGAGGAGACTGAAGCACATGGAATCTAACTAACTTGCCCTAGTTTATGGCTACTGAACAGTGAAACCAGAGTTTGGACCCACCATGTCTGACTCCAGATCTCTCTAACTCCCTACTTTCTGAGTGTTGACTAAATGGTAACCAATTGTCATTATTACTCTATAGTCATGGAGGATTACTGTCTTCAGTTCAAAGAAACTTCTGGATACTGTCGTTTATCCCAAAGGTAGGGAACCCCTGGGGATGCAGGAATACTTTATAAGACTACATTTGAAAGAATCAGGAGTTGATAGAGATAATATCCTGAGAAAGGAGGCTATTTTTTGTGGGGTAAGGGGAAGATCCCCTAGACTTCCCAGATTCTTAAAGCCCCTCCTATAAATGCAAGATCCTGTGACTCTTCCTTCCACCCCCAATCGACCCTCTACTTCAAAGGGGCTGAAATTGGGGGTTGCCTCAGGTCCAGATTCTTGCATTCAGAGAGGGCATTTCCATAAAGGGGGAAATTGGAAGAAATATTCCAAATACCTCCCAACCTTGGACCAGGGCTAACATGGTGGGAAGCAACTCAAGTCTTAGCACCTGTTCCTTGTTTCATTCTCCCAGCACCCTCCCTCTCTTCAGCGTGAAGGCTGAGGCCCCACTACTTACTGGGAAAGATCCAGTCACTGAAACCCTGGACATTCACTAGAAAGGCGGATAAGACCAGGATGCTCAAAAGTCTAGAAGACGCCATTCTGAAGAAGAGCTGGCCTGTTCAGTGGTTCCAGAATATGAAAATGTCTGGCCAGCCTATTTCTTCAGTAGTCAGTATCTTGGATGTGAGAACTGGAGTCAAGCCAGACACCTCTTATCCTGCTGGGAACGCCAAGTTCCTGAGATCGTCAATGTGGCCAGCTGGCATCTACAGCCCACAGCTCTGGGGAAGAGTCTTTTCTTGGATGGTTCATGATGCTCAACAGCCCGGGCTAGGCTAGGCCCTCTGGTCCACCGTGGGGTGTGGGCAAAGCTTATCTCACTTTCCATGTGAACTTAGGAGTACATGCCACCATAAGGGGTCTTGATAACTTTGAGAGTTATGGAATGTCCTCATTCTCCATTCATTTTCCACTTTATCTGCACACTAACTGCTATGCCCCTTTTGTTTATCTCTGACAATGTATCTCTATGGATGTCTTGGTATCTCTTTGTTTAGATGTGCTTCTCTGTGTTGGTGTCTGCCTTATTCTCTTTTTCTGTGGGCTTCTCATGGTCTCTGTGTCTCTTTCTCCCTCTCCCACCATTTCATCCAACCTTCTCCCTTTTCTCTTTGGGTAGTTCATATTCTTTGACAAAGGCCAAAGAGTAAATATGTTACCACAGAGTGGAGTGTGAGGGAGGAGGAGCCTGTCAGCAGAATTTTCAGATACTGTTTGTCAAGGTTATATTGCTTTGAGAGCAGTGGAGAATGTCAGCAGAGCTTATAGTGAGTGTCCTCCATCTGGTGCATCTTGTTGTCTGAGGAGGAACTGTAAAATGGGGAGGCCTGCCTGAGAGACCACACCCCAGTGAAAGTGCATAGACAGTAGAGTTGCTGGCTTCTGACTGGACTGGTGAAAGGGCCCTGGAGAGAGTGCTGGAGAATTTGGCAGCATTCCTACATGGACTCCACAATGCCTGCCAGCCAGCCAGTCAGTCCCGGTAGAGGGAGAGACTCTCCTTAGTAACTGTTGTCTGTAGGGTCCCTGTTTCTTTCTTCAACTAGCTGTTTCACTTTGGGTCAAGTTGTTCTCCATTTGTCCTACATGATGGGCAGAAGCCAGACAAAGCCAGCTGTATCATCAGTGAGTGACTATATGGTCACAAAATTTAGGATCACAGACAGAGCCCCCTGTGGGAATCTGTGGTGTGTGTCTCAGCCTGTTGACAGTGATATTCTCAGCTAGGAAGGCCCAAGACACTCTTGGGGGCATATTTACTCAAAGTGAGGCCCACAGGCATTCCCTTGACAGACATGCCTCCACCACCACGGGGAAGCATTGTGGTTGGAACAGCCTTTGTGGTTCTTACTGTTATCACAGGACTTACCTCTGCCACACCATCAGGGAACTTCAGAGCACACAATTTATTATTACTCACAACCCCTGGAGGGCATATGGCATGCCGGAAGGCCACACAGAAGGTTGTGGACAAAGAGAAGGGTAGGAAGTGTGGACCTGGGGCTCTCTGCCTTTATTAGGGTCCAAGGGTGGAATGTCTAGGGTTTCATGGATTCACTTTTTATTGGCGAATTTAAAGCATATAAAAGTGGGAATCAGGGTGTGGGGAGGGAGAAGCAGGGTCACTCGGGTGGTCTGTTATCTGGGATCCTCGAGGCCTCTGCAAAGGGGGAACTTCATGGGTGAGGACAGCCTGGTTCCTTATCTAGCTGTGTTGTTAATATCTGTGTTATACAGCTGGCGCTGCATTTATTCGATATGGATGTCTTCGAAATGGATGCCTCAGCACTCAAAAGCTTAGTGTCAGGCACTTACATTAAAATAAAAAAGCTGCATGTCAGGCACTTATACCACACAGTCCAATCCCATCAGTTTCTGGATCCCACTGAACCCCACAAAGGGAGCAGGGAATAGAATTTCTTTTTTTTTTTTTTTATTTTTTTTCAACGTTTATTTATTTTTTGGGGGGCAGAGAGAGACAGAGCATGAACGGGGGAGGGGCAGAGAGAGAGGGAGACACAGAATCGGAAACAGGCTCCAGGCTCCGAGCCATCAGCCCAGAGCCTGACACGGGGCTCGAACTCACGGACCGCGAGATCGTGACCTGGCTGAAGTCGGACGCTCAACCGACTGCGCCACCCAGGCGCCCCGTGGGAATAGAATTTCTAATGAACCACCAAGATGTCTTGAGCAGTGCTGTCCCTCCCCTCTTATTCTATGTCCCTCCCATACTCAGGCCAGGAGAGAATACAAAGCTGAACCACCTGGTGCAAGGACTCTGAGGGCACACGTCCATTTCTTCATCTTAGAGGGGTCATAAGGCCCACAGGAGTGCAAATTATGACTCCATGTCACCGAGTGAGTGAGTGTCTGAGATAAAGGTAAGAGGGAAAGGAGTATCTGAGTTCTTGTCAGAGGTCGCTATGGAACCTCCTGACATTGGTGTGAATATATCTTACTATGGAGCTGCAGGTAGGGAGGAATAGTGCACACAAAGGGGATGAAGGTGATGTCCATAGTGGGGACAGAAGCTAGGGACCCACAGAGACTAAATGTCCAAATGGCTCCCAGTGCCCCAGGGAAGGCTGAATTCTTCTCTAAATTTTCTTGAAAGTAAATGAAAACTCAGAATTTCTAGTTGTTCTATCTATTCTGCCTTGCCTAATTTCAAGTCCCACCCAAGGGTCTCACTTTTCAAGCAGATGAGATGAAATTTATGTCTTGGGGGCCTAGGATGAATGACCTCTTTTGCCCCTTCCTTACTCAGTTTCTTGAAGAAGGCTGAGTAAGGATCCATGTGGATCTTTGCCCTCCTTCCCTTATCTCCTCTCACCGATGGTCAGTCATGGTACCCTCCCTCTACCTCAGCCACACTTCTATTCTAGCACCAATCTGCTGGTCAGAATGAGGGACTCCAAGGGGTACCAAGGTAGATGGCCTCTACCTGGAGATTTCTGCTCGTAATTAGGCCAAGACGTTGATCAAGCTTCCTGTGCTTGGCTTTCTGTGTTGTTTTCTGTGCCTCTAAGTGTGTTACTGAGTTTCGTGTTTGTTTCCTCAAATAAACCCTGAGCTCCACTGAACAGGTCTGTGTCTAGGACCTAGTGTTTAGAACATTAATAGGGCCAGAATAAACACTCGGTGCAGACTACTAGTGAGCAAGGTAGCTATGTGGATAGATGGATGGCTCATAGTATGATGAATGGGAATACAGTTGGAAGAATACAAAGGATGGGTGAGGGTATCATGGATATTTGGGTGCATGAATGCCTGAACATGGCTGGGGGGATGAATGGCTGGGTGAATAAATGGATTGGATTGAACATAAGGATGGATAGGTTAGTAATGGGACAAACGGGTAATTGATGGAAACTCTGAATGGCAGGTAAATAAGTGAATTGTTAGGTGGATGGAGGGGAGATGGGTGTAGAAATGATGGAGACCTATGTTGACAGGTATGAGAGAATGTGTTTGTATGAAAGATGAGTAAAGGCTAGATATAAAACAGGCAGCTGGATATGTAGAAAGAAGGTGGGTGAGAAGGGTAAGTGGGTGGATATATGAGTGAGAGAATGGGTGGAAAGATCAATAAGTTTAAAGGTATTTCAATGCAAGCTAGGTGAGCGGATGGATAGGTGGTAAATGCTTTGAATGATTGGTGGATAGTGTGGGTGGGGTGGAAACATGAGTATATTGAAGAAAACATTAAACAAAGTTAAAGACAAAAAAAGAATTATGTACAAAATCAGTTATACTACTTTAAGGTAATACATTTGAAAATAGAGAGAAAATGGATCAATTTTAGCAACATATAAAAGATCGAAATTTACAGAGGAGGAGGTAGAGAGCCTATATACACTGTAAGGTAAAGTACAAGAAAAAAATTAGTAAAAATAGGGTTGCCCAGGTGGCTCAGTTGGTTCAACACCTGACTCTTGATTTTGGTTCAGGTCATGATCTCACAGTTTGTGGGATCAAGCCCTGTGTTGGGCTCCAGGCTGAGTGTGGAGCCTGCTAGGGATTCTCCTCTCTCTCTCTTCCTCTCTCTCTCTCTGCCTTTCCCCTGCTTGTGCTCACTCTCTCTCTCAAAATAAAGAAATAAACATTAAAAATTTATAAAAATTATTTCAAATATACCACCATAGAAGAAACCTTACCTAGTTGCTTTTGGAGCTCAATTTTGTGTAGCCCTAAAAAATAGAGAATATTATTAAAATATTATTATGGAAATTTTTATTTAAAATATTACAGACCATAGGTGGTGCCTGGCTGCTCAGTAGGTAGAGTGTGCAACTCTTGATTTCAGGGTCATGAATTCATGCCCCACATTTTGGGCATATATATTACTTGAAAGAAAATAAAAATAAATTGAGATATTAAAATATTACAAATCATAGGAAAAATAAGTAACCTCCCAATTAGTTTTCCATGCTAGTTTGTTGAAAGTAATATGATTCCAATAGCAAAACATACAAAAGTAATAGGCCTATTTTTCTCTTGATTGTTGATGTGAAATTTCTGAATAAACTGTTTGCTTAAAGTACCTTCGGTGTATTAATAGAAGTATACCCTCAATATGATTAAGGTCAGTCCTGGAATGCAAGGATGGTTCAACATATGGAAATTTAATAATATAAGTTCTTATACTAACAAATTAGATGAGAAAATTATTACATGATTAGATGCTTAAAGTGTATTTGATAAAATTCCACAGTAATATCCAATAACAATAGTAAATGTATAAAAAGAAAACCATCCAAGTGCAGTAAAATCTATTTATCCCAAAGCCCACAACAAATGACATTTCATACTGCAGGAGACACTGATTTTAAGATAAAGAACCAGACAGGGATAGATGTCATTACCTTTATTTTCAACATTATTTCAGAGGCTCTACATGATACAAAAAGACAAGAAAACAAAGTCATGACATTGGGAAATGAGAGTCAAATTACTCATCATTTTCAGATATGATTATATATAAAATATAAGTAAACTCATTAAATATTGTTATACTTCTTTTTTTTCCCAACAATTTTTAAAATTGTCTCAAATGCTTTGTTTTAATCAAGAATGTTTTCTTAGAACCTGTCATGTTTTTTTTCCATTTCATTGCTTCTAAATATACTATTGTTTTTGCTTCACAAATGATATTTCTGAATCCATTCTTCATATTTTAATCCAACCTCATTTATTTATTTGTTTTTATTTTTTTTATTTAAGTCCAAGTTAGTTAACATGTAGTCTAATAATGATTTCATGAATAGAATTTAGTGATTCATCACTTACATGTAACATCCAGAGCTCATCCCAGCAAGTACTCTCCTTAAAGTCCATCACCCATTTAGCCCATCCGCGTACCCAACATCCCTCCAGCAACCCTCAGTTTCTTTTCTGTATTTAAGAGTCTCTTATGGTTTGTTTCCCCTCTCTTTTTTTCAATCTTATTTTTGCTTCCCTTCCTCTATGTTCATCCCTTTTGTTTCTTAAATTCCATATATGAGTGAAATCATATGATATCTTTTTCTGACTTATTTCACTTAGATTAATACACTCTAGTTCCATCACATTGTTGCAAATGGCAAGATTTCATTCTTTTTGATCACCAAGTAATATTACAGTGTGTGTGTGTGTACACACACCACTTGTATGTATATCTATGTATACCACATCTTCTTTATCCATTCATCAGTTGGTGGACATTTGGGCTCTTTTCATAATTTGGCTATTGTTGATAGTGCTGCTATAAACATTAGGGTGCATGTGCTCCTTAGAATCAGCACTTTTGTATCCTTTGGATAAATACCTAGCAGTGCAATTGTTAGGTTGTAGGGTAGTTCTATTTTTAACTTTTTGAGGAACCCCCATATTATTTTCCAGAGTGGCTGCACCAGTTTGCATTCCCATCAGCAGTGCAAAAGAGTTCCCCTTTCTTAACATTCTCACCAACATGGTTGTTTTCTGAGTTGTTAATGTTAGCCATTCTGACTGGCGTGAGGTGGCATCTCATTGTGGTTTTGATTTGTATTTCTCTGGTGATGAGTGATGTTGAGCATCTTTTTATGTGTCTGTTAGCCATTTGAATGTCTTCTTAAAAAATTTTTTAACGTTGATTTATTTTTGAGAGAGACAGAGACAGAATGCGAGTGGGTTAGGGGCAGAGAGAGAGGGAGACACAGAAGCAGAAGCAGACTCCAGGCTCTGAGCTGTCAGCACAGAGCCTGACGCGGGACTCGAACTCAAGTTGTGTGATATCATAACCTGAGCCGAAGTTGGATGCTCAACCGACCAAGCCACCCAAGTGCCCCTGAATGTCTTGTTTGGAAAAGTGTCTACTCATGTCTTCTGCCCATGTCTTAGCTGGATTATTTGTTTTTTGGGGGGAGGGGTGTTGAGTTTGGTAATTTCTTTATAGATTTTGGATACTAACCCTTTACCTGATATGTCTTTTGCAAATATCTTCTCCCATTCTGTCAGTTGCCTTATAGTTTTGCTGATTGTTTCCTTCACTGTGCAGAAGCTTTTTATCTTGATGAGGCACCAATAGTTCATTTTTGCTTTTGTTTCCCTTGCCTCTGAAGACATTTCAAGTAAGAAGTTGCTGCGGCTGAGGTCAAAGAATTTGCTGCCTGTGTTCTCCTCTAGGATTTTGATGGTTTCCTGTCTTAAATTTAGGTCTTTCATCCATTTGAGTTTATTTTTGTGTATGGTATAAGAAAGTGGTCCAGGTTCATTCTTCTGCACGTCTGTCCAGTTGTCCCAACACCATTTGCTGAAGAGACTGTCTTTTTTCCTTTGGATATTCTTTCCTGTTTTGTCAAAGATTAGTTGGCCAGATATTTGTGGGTCCATTTCTGGATGCAAAAATTCCCAACAAGATATTACCAAACCAGGTCCAATAATACATTAAAAGAATTATTCACCACAATAAAGTGGGATTTATTCCTGGGATTCAGGGCTGGTGCAGTATCCACAAATCAATCAATGTGATACATCACATTAATAAAAGAAAGGATAAGGACTACATGATCCTCTCAATAGATACAGAAAAAGCATTTGACAAGATAGAGCATCCTTTCTTGATAAAAACCCTCAAGAAAGTAGGGATAGAAGGAACATACATCAAGATCATAAAGGCCATAAATTAAAGACCCACAGTTAATATCACCCTCAATGGGGGGAAAGGGAGAGCTTTCCCCTAAGGTCAGGAACATGACGAGGATGTCCATTCCCACCACTGTTATTCAACATAGTGTTGGAAGTCCTAGCCTCAGCAACAAACAACAAAAAGAAACAAAAGGCATCCAAATTAGCAAGGAGGAAGTCAAACCTTCATTTTTCACAGACAACATGATACTCTACATGGAAAACCCAAAAGACTCCACCAAAATGCTAGAACTGATTACATGAATTCAGCAAAGTTGTAGGATATAAAATCAACACACAAAAATCAGTTGCATTTATATACACCAATAATGAAGCAGCAGAAAGAGAAATATAGGAATCAATCCCATTTACAGTTGCACCAAAACCCATAAAATACCTAGGAATAAACCTAAGAGGTAAAAGATCTATACATGAAAAACTAGAAAGCTTATGAAAGAAATTGAAGATGCAAAATAAATAGGAAAACATTCCATGCTCTTGAGTTGGAAGAACAAATATTATTAAATTGTCAATACTACCCAAAGCAATCAACATATTCAATGCAATCTCTATCAAAATAACATCAGCATTCTTCACAGAGGTAGAACAAACAATTCTAAAATTTGTATGGAACAAGAAAAGACCCCAAATATCCAAAGTATTATTGAAGAAAACCAAAGCTGGAGGCATCGCAGTTCCAGACTTCAAGCTGTATTACAAAGCTATAATCATCAAGACAGTATGGTACTGGCACAAAAACAGACACATAGATCAATGGAATAAAATATTGTTATACTTCTTAAGACAGCTTGGCAAGGTTTCCACTTACTATTCATTTTTGAGGTTCCAGGCACTTCAATCCACAATGTGAACAGCACTTCTGTGACACTGGGCAATCATTATCCTGAAGGCACTTGGGTCTATCAAATGTGGAACACACCACAGGCTTGTGTGGGCAGAAACCTGATTTGGCTTTATGGGATAAAATAAGACACTTGATCTTGAAATACTTGATTATAGTTTGAGACAAAGTTGGGAGATTTGGGGAACCCTAAACAGGGCTTTCTTCTGATGAAGTCTCTTACCCTTCCCCCTAGAGTAACAATAGATTGTACAAGGCAGAGTATCAACTTTCTATGGCTAATAATTTGAGGAGTATCAAAAAGGCTTGACATCTCTGAGTTACAAAATCTGATAGGATTCCTGCTGGCCCTCAAAGAGCTAATGGATTTATTTGGGTTATCTGATCCCAGATTACCAGAGATAAAAGGAATATGGGAGAGCACCCAGAACTTCCTTTTTAAATATAAACTGTACAAATTGAGGATCATGTAGGGAAAATGAGTTGTCTACGGCCATAATGAAAATGAATAGAAGAGTTGAAGTCAGTTGAAAGGACTTGGATGTCTTCCACCATACTGTGCTGTACCTCAAAACACTAGCAATCTCTGGGACAAGACTATACTAACTCAGCACTACATGAAGGAGTGAGACCTAACCTCAGAAACTACAGAGTTCACTTCTACCCCAACAAAATTTTGCTGCCAATCATTACTCCAGCATACCTACAGGATGTGGATATGCTCTACATGCTCTGAAGTTCTGTGCAGACATAAGGGCTTATTAGGAATGTACCTAATGGTTATCATTTCTTTTTGTACAAATAAGTGGGTATTGTCACCTGTCAGCCATTGAAGATGCGACTTAGAATAAATAAGTTCTCATGGGGAAAAATAGGGAGTGATACTATGCATGATTGTCTTTGAAGCCTAGCAAATAAGTTTCCTGAGATCAGCACGACAACACAAGAGCAGTGATTGGGCATTAAAAAAGGAAAAGTTCCCAAGAGACCCCTAAGGTCAACTGAAGGGGTATCTCCTATTCCATGGGACAACATGACATCCTTAGCATATGCCCCGGAGACTTTGGGAGGTATACCCCCAGTCCTCACCTGTCCAGGCCATGGCACAAACAAAGCCACACATGGATTCACAACATTTGTCACTTTGGGGGCAATCGATGTCACTCTTACACAGAGATGAACACTCCATACGGTTCTTGAAAGGGAAGAGTGGGCAATGTCCTTTCTTGACTAAAACAAGAGCAGATATGAGTTCTCTCAAACCCCAGCCCATCTCACTGTTTAAAACAGCTTTCCCTTCCCCTCCAAACTAGTATCTCTTTCTGTCACTTGGTTCACTCTACCCTGATGACCTCTGGTAGGCTGTGAAGGAATGTAATGCCTCACCATCTCCTGGGATGTAGTAGAAAGAGAGTAAGGCTGGGTGTTTGAAGCCCCAGGTGAGAAGATGACTCCCCAGACCAGGGTGGCAGCTGTTGATGTAAGAAGTGGTCAGATTCTGGATCTATTTTCAAGGTAGATCTAAAATGATTTCCTAATGCAGTGGATGTGGATTGAGAAAGCGCAATGCTGATTCATCAAGGGTTACTTAGAAGTTTGTTTTGTTTTGTTTTGTTTTTTCAACCAAGCTGGAGAGAAGTATGGACGGAGCAGGTTTGAGATGGGAGAGCAAAGATGAGTGGTTCTTAAACAAATGAAGTGTGAGATGTTTTTGAGATCCTGATGGAGGAGAAGACAAGGCAGTTGGAGTTTGGGAGTCAGATTCAGGCTGGAGATACCACTGTGTGAGTCACTAGGGTAGAGATGGTATTGAAATGAATTCTTTAGAATTTTGTTCATGTTTTCTGTTGTCCTTATCTGATTGCAAATTCTATGAGGGTAGGAGGTGCTTCCTTTCTCCTTCCCCTCCACCTTCTTCTTCTCTTTCCTTCTCTTTCTACCTCTTCTTCCTCTTCCTGTTTTCCTTCTCCTCCCTCTTCCTCTTCTTCCTCCTACTGCTTATCTTCCTCCTCCTCCTCCTCTTTCTTCTCTTTCTCCTTCTTCTTCTTCTCCCCCTTCTCCCCTTTTTCCTTCTCCTCCTCGTCCTTCTTCTTCTTCCTCAGGTCAGATTCTAACAGACCATGGTGTGTTTGACTCTCAAAACTATTGTTAGGTTCTTTCTGAGGTCTAAACATAAATTTCCCCCAAACCAGCTTAAACCAATTTCCCTGGCCTCTTCTGGTTTCTGAGAGAGAGCCAATGTCTAGTTTATAGTGCCATAATTCCTTACAGCCTCCCACAAAGGGTCAGGCCACAAGGTTGCCTTGGCCATTCAGGCTCACTAGGCCTATAGAATTAAAATTTCAGATCTACCCCTGACCCACTGTGAATCCTTGGGCAACAAAATTTACTTCTCTGTTTTCTTGTCTGTAAAATGGGGGTGATGGTATACATTTCAGCCTGCATTGCAGAATCTGAGGTCAAAGTTCTAGTGCTGCTTTGTAAAGTCACTCAGTGCTGTGCATTTTGAACATCAACGGCCACCACCTCAATTATTACCATTTAGCAAACCGACACTACTGAACAGCCATCATGTCAAATATTTGTGTCCTGATCACATATAATCATACCAACAACTCAGCAATGACTTTTGTTATTCCAGTATTATGGGGGAGGGAACTGAAACTCAAACAGGTGAAGAAATTTGCAGTAAGTGAGAAAAGGGGGATTTTTATCTACATCATTTGTCACTTAAGCTCTGTAAGACACTGTCTCCCAACATTACTGCTAATGGTCATTATAGTAAGGAATTAATCCACAGCCCTCACCTTCACTCCACCCTATTCTTCACCTATTCCATGCTGTATCCCTACTTCTTGGGAAACCAGAGCTGACCTGCTTATGTTTCATTTTTGAGTAAGTACTTAGGTAACACTATCTCAGTTTCCTGGCACAACAACTCCATCAGGTCAATACTATCATGACCCCCCATTTTGTAGACAAGAAAACTGAAGCTCATGGAAACAGGAAACTGACCCAAGACCACCTGTTCAGTGAATGATTGAGCTAAGAGTTGAACAAAACATTTTAACCTTAAAGCCTGAGCATATGAATATTCTGATGTACTATTTCCAGTTACACTAGGCCCTCAGATGGCCAGGCATATAAGTCTTACCAATTAATGTGCAAGCCATTATGCAGTGTTCCTTGCTGATGAAGTTGTTAGCATTCCCATAGCAGCCTCCATAGGTAAAGGGTTTGCAGAGGTGATGTTTATTGTCAAAATACCAGTGCATGATATTACTGTTACAGTTTCCTTGGTCTGAGGGTAGCATGCAGGGTTCTGAGGGCAGGAAACAAAGAGGGAAGAACATAAAGGGTAGCAAAAACAAAGAAGGGTTCAGGCCCTCACCTTTGTGCAGTTCTTGGTATTAGATCCAAGTGATTAGGAGACCATCATCAATAAAATTTCTAGCCTAGCTCTACTACAAATACTCTATGTTGCATTGAATCTCTGAGCATCATTCACACCTTTCAAAAGTCATAGTGAAAAGCATATGAGGTGCTTTGGAGCTGATCTTTCTTCTCTACTGCCTGAGCTTTGGGAGGACAAGACTTGTTCAATGACTATATCCAAAGTGCCTAACAAAGTGCCTGGCACATAGATAGAATGAAACATCAAGAAGGAAAAAACAAACAAACAATTTCTCATGTTTGGAAATTGATCAGAGCTCACAGCTGAGCCATGGTGTGCCCCTGTCAGATATTAACCAGCTCACCAGACAGCTACATCAAACAAGGTCACTCTGGGACCATGATAAAGGGAGACCAAAAACAGTAATTTTGAAAGCCACAGAATACCCAACATCTATGAGTGATTTATGTTTCTCTACATTATGGCTTTATCCTCAGTCTAGCCTCCCTTCTCTGTAGATAAGATCACATGAGATAATCATAAAATTGCCCCACTTTCTGACAACACCCCATATAGACCAAATCCACCCCTGCAAATTACTCAGTCAAAGCCTCAATCCCATAGTAGATTCTTTCCAACAGCTTCTTACTGAGATCTCTCAGGTTGTCTATGGTGAACATTCTCCCTCACTGCAATGAGTAGTAAATCCAACTTGTTCAAATACATATGTGTTCTTGGTGGTCTTTGGCCAAAGGACACTAACAGTAGATATTTTTTGAGTGAATAAATGGATATCTATATCTATAATGCACAATTTCCTCTTATGAGATGCTCTATACTTTGAGTTACCAGAAAACCTCTTTGAAGGCCAAAGAGTCCAAAAATAAGACCAGCATCTAACCTGACTGGGGTTTACATTTACCACAGTGGCAACAATAGCCTCTTGACACACAGGAAGCATATGACAAGTATTAGTTATTTGTGAATGCTTGAATGTTGAACCAAGAAGACTAACATCAATATTATCCAGTTGCCATCCACCATGCTTAGACTCATTGTTTGTACTTGAGGGTTGGAATATAATTAGAAAAAGAGAAAATCATGAGCCCTGGCCTCTTTGTCCTACCATTCAAGGGAATCATTCAGCAAGTTCTAGACGGGGCAGGAAGTAAGACACCTCAAAAGGCCCTCAGCCTTGGTGCCACTACCTTGGAGTGGATCCATGCACTTCTTCCCACAGGCAAATGAGCAGCACTTCATCTGTTCCACGCAGTGCCCATCAGTTTGGCACCAATCTGGAACTTTAGTTTCACAGGTGATCCTCTCATGGGGGCACACTCCTGGTTTCTCTGCAAGAGAACAATGTCCACATTCACATCCCTTGAGAGTTTCAGCTCTCCCCCCCCCCCCACATTGGCAAAGGGGAATAGTGACATTCCCTCAGCCCTCTCCTCTACCTTCCATCCTCAGTGCTTGCTTTGCTTATCTTATGGGCTGGGTCTGCCTCTCACCACTTGTAGCTCATTTAGATTGATCTGAGTCAGGAAACTGTGTTTCCTGGAAGAAGGAAAGGGAAGGGAAGCATCTCAGATTCTACAGCAGGGAGTTAAATAGGGACCAGGAGCCTTACCTTAAGTTTGGGAACTTCTCTCTCCTCTTAAAACTTAATATTTTACTGTCTAATCCCTCTGCCTCCAGTATCTCAGTTGACAGGGAAATTAGTGAGGAGTGGTGTAAATATCATGGAAATAGGAATATTGTGGTCGCGATACCCGATTTGGGCCCCTGACTCCTTGTGAGCTCGAGAACAGCCTGAGTTCCACTATGTAACTTCACAGTTATCTTTAAAGTGGGCAGGAATGGTGCAGCGAGAGGAGCACTATAAGACAGACCTGGCATGGGAGCCTGACTCCAACATGACTAGCTAAGTTATCTTGGAGAAAAAAGTCTTCCTTCTGAGTCCTAAGCTTTCCACCTATAAAATGAGAATTTCAATCTCTTCCTTACAGTCTGCTTATAAGAATTAAGGAAGATGATGTCCGTAATGCACTCATCACAGTACCTGGCACATGGGAACAGCGTGGCAGATATGGGATTGCTTCCTCCCTTTGTAGGGTTAAACATGGCTGCCTCATATCCGTCCCGGTAGGAGGCAGAATCTTAAAGTTGCACCCCCCAGATTCCCATCCTCTGGTTATTGAATTAAACATGAATTTAGGTACTGCTGTGGAGAAATTTCATAGATGGGAGCAAAGTCCCAAATTAATTGACCTTAAAATACAGAGATTATCTGAGTGGGCCAGCCCGAAGCTGTCGAGTCCTTTAAAAAGGAGGGGTTTTCCCCATTAACAGAGAAGAGGTAAGAGAGATTCGAAGGGTGAGAGGAATCTAACATGCTATTAGTAGCTTTGAGGATGGAAGAAGCTAATTGCCCTGGACTAAGGGTGGCCTCTGGAAGCAACTTCAATAGTGCAACTGCTACAGCTAGTAAGCATGGACGAGGACCCTGGGTCCCAGATGGAAACTGCAGCTTTGGCTGACACCTGGATGTCAGCCTGGTGACAACCTGAACAGAGACAGAACCTGAGCCAGATACACCACACCAGACTTCTGAACTACAGGTAGTGTGTTACACAGCCAGAGATAGCCACTACCCTGTGCCGGGGGCAATGAGGCTCTAAACTGAGCATCCCTCCAGTGAGATCTACTGGAGAAGCATGATCCTTTTGGATACCACTGACTTGGAATTATAGAAGTTTAGCATTGGAAAGACCATATTTATCATTAGTATCACCCTCTTACTTTCTTAGGTTAAAAAATATGAGGTCAGATGAGAAAATATAGTGGATGAAGGATGAATTGAAATTGTTAGTACTTTCCAGTTATATTTCTTAGCCTTCATACCACCCTTCATGCACCCTCCAAGGATGCCCTGAGGCTGAGTATATGGTTCCTAATGTCGAGTTGTGTATTGAAAACACCTGTGCATCTTTTAGAAAATATAGACCATGTCCTGAATCAGAATCTCAAGAAAGTGAAGCTGAGGGACTCAACTTTTTAAAAGTGCCACTGGTGACACCGAAGCAGTTAGGCATCATGATGTAGGCTACTACTTGGGAATCCCTGTTCGAGGTTTGGGCACAGCGAGAGCAAAGCAAATCAAAGAGGGACACATCCAAAGAGGTAAAAAGGCACAGAAATCTTGGAATTATAAAGACAAATGTCTCCTCACTAGGGTGGACTTTACCCAGGCTCACCTCTCTCCTGCTTCTGGGGGCATGTAAACCTTTTTTGGGTTCTACACTTTAGCTCCTTCCCCCTCTGTCAGCTTCAGCTCCCACTTAGAATCCTCCTCCCTCCCAGCCAGCCTTCTCCAGCCACTTAGCTTGTCCATGTGGTCTCCCCTGAAGCACACAAACTGGGGATTCCTCTGCAGCTACTGGGAATGCTCCCCAAAGTTTGGGTCTTGCTCTCTGCTGTCATTCCTTGACACATACTCCCCACAGACCACATCCATTCCCACGATGCTTTCTGTGGTTCCCATGCCTTCCTCCTGACCTATCCCCACTTCCCAGCTAAGACACATATTCAACCACCTGGCAACATACACCTGGGTATCTCATAAGACCTCTTTTCCCACATGTACAAAACTGAACTAGCATCTCCCTATGCCTTAGCAGTGCCTCCTTCTCTCTGCTCCCATCTTTATATTGGCATCAGTATGCCCCCAGGCTATCAAGAGAACCCTGAGATTCACTCCTCCCTCTCTGTCACCCCAGCATCCTGTCAGACATGGACTCGGGTCAGTTCCTCCTCCTAATCTCTCTCCAAGTCCCATGGCTTCCCCTCTTGGCCACCACTTCCAAGACAGCTCC